AGATGCTAAGTGAAATGGGATCGCGCACCTTAAGCTGTCAACTTTAGTTGACAGAGTATATCAGTCATGCACAGACTGTGATCTCAATCAGATCAAGCGCTATGGTTTCGCACCACTTAAGAGTGTCACTGAAGATGTTCCATGGCGCAGGGTCATCATTGATCTGGTTGACCTGCCCACGTCCGAACACACAGGCGACCGTTACGTATGCCACTTCTTTGATGTGGCGTCACCGTATAACTTGCTCTATCCGTTAAAGGACAAGAGTACGCAGACCGTGGCAGAACTATGTTGCCAAGTATTTGCTGACCACGGGTGGCCAGGTATAATGTGTACTGATAACGGTAGCGAATTCTGCGATGACGTAATGGAATCGTTAGTACTCGTATCAAGCATGTGCCATAAAAGGGGTGTGCCATATAAACCGCGAACGCAAGGCGCGAATGAAACGCGCCATAGAAGACTTAAGTTCTTCTTGCGTACTGCATTAACGGATGATGCAGATGATTGGCCGTACCACCTTAAGTGGGTACAAACACAGATGAACGAGTGTGCTGATTCGGTTACAGGTACAACACCCGCTCACTATTTTCGTGGCACATATAGTGAGTTACAAATACCTTTTAACAAGGACGAACCTAATCACCATGAGTTACCTTGGTTAGAGAAGGTACAACGTATTTATAACGTTGTATATCCTTGCTTGCGAGAAACACGCAATATTGCCTTATTAAAAAGGCAAAATAGAGATGGAATGCTACCAAAAATATAGTGGAGTATCAGGTTGGAGACAGAGTTAACATCCGTCAACGTAATTTCGATGCTTCTGTATTAACATCTAAATGGATAGGTCCATATATATTATCTGTAGCTGACGTTAAAAGTGGAACCTACGAGGTTAATAACCCCAAGGGTTCCAGTGCTTTAAATATAGGCACTAGTCGGATTCCGACTACTGAGATAATCCTCGCAAGAAGACATGACTCTAACGCCCCTCTTGATCATTCTAAATTTAAAGACATTATATGGAGAACGGATAAGGGAGGCTATACTTACTATCGTATACGCTTTATAGAGGGTACAATCGCTGAGTTGAGTTTAGATGCTTTCGATAATCAAGACTATTTAAATGCCTATAATCGAAAATGGCGTAAACGCCTGCATAAGTCACAAGCTGAAAAAGATAGCATGTTTCCATCGTCTGAAGGCACGTAAGTTAAAACTTACCAGCCTATAGCATTTATCCCGAGCTTTAATGCTCACCCTTTATATGTGCTTAAGACACTGAAGCGTAAGAAACGTCCAGACGACCACCATGGACCTATTGGACCTAAGTCTAAAACTCACAGGGTAATCGAGAACGCTAAACTTCTCCGCCTGAGAAACATTAAGTATATGTTATGCTACTTAATGTTTTCGACCCGTTTTTCCTTTCTCGCTTTTTGATCCATAATCAACTTGAGTGAGCAGCTTGCTTCTCCTGGGTCTCAAAGCTGGGTGGGGCCTGTGTAATAGCCGGGCCTCCACATTAGACTCTATGTTATAAACGTACTCTTAAGCAGTACATACACTATAGTAGAAGGAACTTAAGTTTCCTAAATGGTTTTTAACGGTTTTATTAATTAATACCTTTTCCATTTTACATATCAGATATTTGGACAAGGCCATTAAAAGGCCCCAGTAAAATACCAAACATAAGATTTGGTCTAGTTCTATTAATAGAACTATCTTTACTTTCCAAATCTATTTATATCTGAATACTTCGGTAGTGAGATGGCTCAACCGAATATAGGTTTCTAGGGACTATTAGTGTTACCTAGTTTAACCTCCGTTCAGCCAACCAGATGTGCCAGTCTGATGAAGGCCAAGTCGGCAATTCTGATAAGTGGCAAGTTATTGGTTAATGCACTAACTATGGACATCAAGAGTATTTTTCTTTTTTCTATTCTTTTTTTCTACAGATAGGTTTTTATGAGTCTCTCGGATTCGCCCCAACGAAACATACCATAGTTTCTAATAGAGCGACAACGAAACACTAACTAAAATCCCTTCGGCGAAAACAGTACTGAGAGGATTATATATAGGCAATGTCTCAGCCTCACAATCCCTCAGAGTATTGCTGTTTTCACGAGGCATACATAACTCTACCAAAATACTCATTTCGTTTATTTACTTCGAATTCCACAATAATTAAACTTAACCTAAGCGTTTAATTACTCTAAGGCGTTAATATCGTCTTGATAGACCAAATCTTACACCATTATAGCATGCACGCTAGTACCAATTATGTGTGAGCATGGATTACCACAAATCATACAGACTGAGCATGGCACTGAATATGTTAACAACATACTCTCAAAAGTTGTTGAACAAGCGCCAGTGCAACATCTAGTCTCTCGGCCGTATCAACCTAAAGTCTTAGGCGCGAACGAATGATCACATAGAGATATCATGCCACTGTTACGGAAGTTCGTTGAGCAAAATCCAGATAACTGGTGTTCACGACTTCCATTCTTACAGATGGGCCACAATCTGCGTACATCAAGAGGGTACAATTCACAACGATTTAACGAATACTTTGGTCGCAGACAGAATCAACTCACGGACTGCAATGAGCCAGTGACCGCACCAAGTACAATAGTATCGTGGGAAGAACGACTGCAAAATGTAGAAGAAACCGTCAGGCCACAACTAAACAATAACGTTGCACAATATCAAGAGAAGATGCGCGCAGCATACGATCGAAGAGACTAAAAGGAAGGGGACCTTGTCATGGTTCGCTATCAAGGTGAATTGAACGAGTTAACAGCACAAAATGGCGGACCATACAAAATAATATGCAGCGAGGGCAACATGTATTTTGTCCGTAACCTTGATCGAACTAAAGCGCCCGAATATTCTAACTCGGTCAATGATGAACAAAGTGGTTTAGCCAAGAAGGCTAGCGAGCTCAAAGAATTCACTACCAACAGCCAAGTCCAACCACCAGAAGAGACTCAATTCTCCTCGATACTTGACCACAGAGGATCCACAAGAGGTGATGTAACCCAGGACAACCTACTACAATAGGCAGATGAAGAGCGTATCTGGACACATGAATCAGACATCGCAGATCCAGATATTCTTACGATATTCTTACAACGCAAGCAAAGGCAATCCAGGTCAAATACGTCAATAACAACAAGATAAACGATCAGTGAGCAACAGGCAGCGCACGAGGCGGAGAACTTAGCCAAGTTTCACCGACACCAAAGGACACTCCCACGTTTTCACCTTAAAGCATGCTCTGCCCACACACCAGAGGGTTAAGGATAAAAACTCGGTTGAGAGGCACCGTTTAGATAAGTTTTCCTAAGACGAGTTGAGATCAACCGAGAGCACAGGTCAAGACTGACTCCGATGAGCGTGTGTTAGAGTACTCCTGTTATCTAGTACAAATTAATATAAAAAGTAATATTATAAAATAGATAATGGTGGCAGGTATTTTCATCTTATGCCCCATAAGGGACAAGTTTTTCCCTGTACAAAAACACCAACCTCTAGACAATCTAGTCTTATAAGATGTCACTTTCTACTCCTACGTAGACTGAGAAGCATAAGTTGGGGGGCTGTAGCATTCAGGGACCAGATTATCAGAAAAGCCAATCCTAAACTCAAAATCCATTATTATCAAATACCGAGTTTTGGATCTAAGATCCAATATTTCTGATGATAGAGTGATCAGAAATATAGCGGGAATACCAGTAGATAATACCGGGACTCCCGCGTGTGAGAGAAACACTTTAGTAAATATTGAGTTTAGTGTAGAAAATACTAAACGCAAATAAAGACTCAATGCGAGTCTAGCTGTAAGATTCGCACTTGAGAAGAAGAAGTCTATTGTTTCCTTTGGTCGTAACTTGCAAGCTACTCTCAAACTCTACATTCCGTCTCACTACGAGTGTTAGTAGTACAAGTTCGTTCGGGAATTGATCGAGATATGTCCCGGCGGACTATAAAAGGAGTCCATGTCCAGCGTTAGAGTTTAGACTTTCACTAAGGATACAAGGAACATAAGGACGAAGAGGACTAAAGACTGCTTATATGGTAAACCTAAGAATAAAGCTACTGAAACCGAATTTGGGAATTTGTATTTTTTGGCGCCAAAGCTGTGATAATCATTTTTGGGACGTTTTTGGATTTAGAGAATAAGGACCGAACTTTGGGAAAGTCGAAGGACCTTATACCACATACAAAAGTAAACAAATACAAAGTAATGTATGTATTTATTAAAAAAATACAAAATTTATTTATGTATTCATTTGTACAATTTAGGAGGCTATGATTCATTTATTTATGTACATAAAATATACATATTTACACAAATATCTTATTTTTGATATTTATATAAGTACTGTTTGCATGTACTTCTTATTTTATATATAAAACAATTTGAATAAAGAACATATTAAAAAAAACAACAGAATACTATTTATTTTTTATTAAAATATTGTTCGCAGACATCTGATTCGAGTCTGAGTGCTGAGTGCTGAGTTGCTGACATGCTTTCTCTCTCTCTCTCTCTCTTTATTTTTAGATTCTCGCTCTTCTTCGGAGTTCTTGTTGTGTGTGTGAGACTTCTTGAGGGAGAGCTGTCAGGCCTCAGAGGCTCAGACTCTCTCAGGCTCTGTCTCTCAATCTCATTCTCTCTCTCTCTCTTTCTCAAATCTCACCTCCTGAGAAAAGTAGGGAGTAGAGACTCCAAACTTTAAAGATCAAACTGGAGTCCAAAGTCCAAAGTCCAAAGTCCAAAATCAATAGTCCAGGCCTCTACACAAGAAGACTAAAAGAGGCTGTGTAATAAAGTACGACTTGTCTCCAATTTGCAACCAGGGCAGCTGGGCAGGCCTCGGTCCCTCGGCCCTCGCCCTCATGCCTCATAGAGTCACGGACGTACGGCATGTCGGCATCTCAAGAGTCGAGAGTCGAGACTCAACAAGCTCGCATTTTACAGTAGATTGCGGGTACACATGGAAATTAAAAATAGATACATTTCAAAACGGACAGCTAAGTTTTAGAGGGTATAAATCCGAATCAACAAGAACGGTACAAGACCTTTTGGCACTCCACTCTATTCACCATGGTACGCCAGAAGTCCGCATTACTCGTTTATTCATTGTGTACGTGTACGGTTGGATTTATGTTTGATTATACAGTAGTGTTTAACGTTAAGTATATTCATAAGTAAGAAGCACCCTAAAACTACTATGTTAGTCGGTTTATTTGCTGTAGGTTCTTGCCACCCGATTGTACGGCGTTATTGCAGAATAATATGCATGCCGTGTAGAATTACGTATAGTATAGAAATGTAGCTGACTGTGATACCGCGCTACAATTTGGCATGTTGATTTTAAATTCTCTGTGAGGTGAAGGTTGCTATATGAATATGTCTTCAATTCGTTTGATGTCGATTCACTCCACGCAACGACAAGTTGTTGTACCATGCTTCTTTAGTCTTCATTTCTCTTGTCTTGCTTACAATCTATGCGAGCTCTCGACCCCAGTGTACTGAACTAGTGAAAGCGAAAACATGCGGAAGTAATCGTTTGGTAGTAAATATGCTCAAACCAGGCTAACGAGTGCGATGCAATGCAATGCAATGCATGTCTAGCAATCTCGGAAGTCAATCAAATGTGCTGGTTCCCGAGAAGCAGTTTATTCACATGCGTGTTCCATACGCACATTCTACTTACTTCAGACATGCACGGAAGCCACCACTTTATACACACTGCACTGTGTATCGCGCTGCTTGAAACCTCTGTTCGCATCTCATTCTTGATCTAAAACGAGTCGTTTGAAATCAAAGATGTAGAGGATCACGTTCTTGCTTAGTCGCAAAGTGGTTAATTGGCGGGGGAGACCTCTACATGGACGTACGTTTAGTGATCTGCTTACCTTGTAAACAGATTGCGCGTATTTGTCATGTATGTTAATCCGATAATCCAAACTCTTACTTAACAGGGAATTGATCTAGACCACAGACACTTGAAGAAGAACAACCGCTTGGCTCCCAAGTCGGAGAATGTTTACATTCTTCTCTTGGTGAAGTTGTATCGGTTTTTGTCCCGTCGCACGGACTCCGACTTCAATAAGACCATCCTCAAGCGTCTGTATATGAGTCGTGTAAACCGAGCCCCTCTATCTGTGTCGAAGCTCACACGCTTCATGAAGGGAAAAGAGGAGAAGACCGCCGTCATTGTAGGAACCGTTACTGGCGATAGCCGTATCGAGACCATTCCCAAGATGACTGTGTGCGCTCTGCGTTTCACTGCTGATGCCCGTGTTCGTATCGTCAAGGTATGTGTTTTATTATTCTGATATCTTGTGCGCGCTTGCAGCATAGCTGGTCTAAGTATGCTTGTTCTGCTGGACAGTACAACTCAAACAATTTGTGATATGCTATGGTGGCTGTGATGATACTTACTTGGTCCGTGTTATCGAATGGGACGTAAGACCCCCGCTTAACCATGTAATCAATACAAGTCTCTGAGCCTTTTTTTAGTATGCACTGCGTCACCGCCTTGTGTCGGCTTATTCCTACAATGTATGTGCACGTGCAGTTTAATGTTCAATTTGATGGTATATTCACGCTGTCCTGTTCTTTGTTTATTTTCTTTGTAGGCCGGAGGTGAGTGCATAACTTTCGATCAGCTCGCCATGCGTGCCCCCACCGGCACCAACACTGTGCTTCTCCGTGGACCCCGCAAAAGCCGTGAGGCTGTCAAGCATTTCGGAGCTCCCGGTGTACCTCACTCGCACGCCAAGCCTTACGTTCGCTCAAAGGGACGCAAGTTCGAGGTGAGAATTCTTGATACTATATTTGTGGTGGTTTCGGTGTTGTATTGAGATGCTTTCGTATTCAATTTGAGGAGATATTTAGGACAATGATGATACTTACTTGGTCCGTGTTATCGAATGGGACGTAAGACCCCCGCTTAACCATGTAATTACTACAAGTTTCTCGAGTCCTGTTTGTTTATTATATCTTTGAAATGTTCTGGTAATATCATTTGTTCACACAATTTTATACACCTGTCTCATTACAGAAAGCTCGTGGTCGTCGTCAGAGTCGTGGATTCAAGGTCTAAATGCCTCCTGCTGGTTAACTCAACTTATGCTGGTTTTCAACCTATTAAATCCAAGTCATCTAAAACCAATGACCTTGCTTCGTTACTATGTTTTTAAAACATTCTTCAGAGAACAGATGTTTTCATTCTCATTGTTAGTACAAATCAGTATCACGTGATTATGCAATTGCCCTTTGTTATTGCTGTTGTCATGAACATGTCACAGAGCCATGAAAATAGACATGTCAATGACACATCTCGATGTGCTGGGAATGTATGTACGATATTGTACGAGAAGATTTGGCAGTTAAGTCCGTGAAAACTACGCAGTTTAATCCCCAAAATCATGTCGGGGTTCTGTATGTACATGCTCTCCCAAGGTTAGAACAGTAATGATGTACGATCGGCTGAATAGAATACATCACTACCAATTGCTGGCGAATCCAATTATGTTACTGGCACGTGAACAAGAAAATGAGAGTTCACGGTATCTACAGGGGACCTCGGAATGGTCAATTACGTATACTTCATATACTAGATGCATGTTGATAGAGCTGCTTCAAAAGAACACGCGCAAAAAACAGACATTAGTTTGCGGTTAGTATTGAGGTCTAGCAATGAATCCAGATAAAAAATCAAGTCAAACAGCGCTAGCCGGTTAGCCGAGTCACGTATATTAAGCATTTACTTTCACCAGCGCCAGGCAAGTAAGTACACACTACACAGACCCAACACTCGGTCTAGTGTGGCTACCTGAGCGGGGGTGTCGGTGCCTCGTCAACCTTCCCACCATCCGCTGGCGAGTTGGTGGACGGCTCGATATCACGAGCAGGTATTCTTTCCGGGGTCTGTGCGGGGCTCTGAGTGTGTGCTGTCTGTCCGCGTGCGTGTGTATCTGCGCTGCTGTGCGTGTGTGCCTGTCCCCCCCCCCCATGTCTCGGTATGTCCTGCTGTGTGTGGTCCTTGTGGTGTACGCTGATTCAACGGAGGCTGCGTGAGTCCATAGTCCGTGGTTTGGGCCAGGCCAAACGATGCGTGCATTTGGGTTACCTGGTTCGTAGCCTGCGACGGGTGTACTTGCGGTGGCTGCTGTAGCGGTGACCGTAGTAGTATCTGTTGATGTGTTGGTGTGCGGAACACTTGAGGATCACTCCCCACTGAATGCTTCGTGCCTGGATCGCTCTCATCTGCATGCGTCTGATCTGGTTGACCTCCCATTTGTGTGCGTGTACTAGCATCTCTGTGTAGGTACAGGGCCGTATCGGCCTCACTCAGTGCTGGCTGTGCATGAAGGTTCCCCATGCCCATTGTACTTAACCCTACACCCACTGAGGGGTTTGTGTGCGCGTTCAAGTCATTCAGCAAAGCCATCTGCTGCGACATGTGCTGTTGTTGTATCATAGCGCTTATCCGTGCGGCGTTTTCCATCGCTTCTGTGGGTTGGATGGCATTCGGAACGACCCCAGTGAGACCGCCCACATCCCCATCCACGTTTAACGGCAGATTCAAGGCAAGAGGTCCGTCCAAGCCGTTGTTGTTTGACCCTAGATCAAGCGGCGGGAAGCCTGTCGCGAGGGACTGGAAGTCCAAGTCTGGCAGATTCAAATTCGCCAGGGTGTTGGCATCGATATCATTTAGGTTGGCCAGGAGAGAGGGTTCGTTGCCCTGCACCTCTCCCATTGCACCTGGGCCGAGGGCCAAGTCAGCTTGAGTACTCAATCCCGAAGGTAAGTGCGTGCTCGCGAGTCCGTTCGCCAATAGATCGTTAGCGCCGGTGGTATACGACCGCAGGAAATCACTCTGCCAGTCCGCATTCCCCATGTCAAGGAACCCTCCAAAGCCGCCCACGTGCAGGTTTGTGGGATCTACAGCCAAGGCTTCTACACCCTGGTCAACATTCAAGCCACTATCACGCCCCAAGTTACCCCCCACTCCCAAGCCGGTAGCCGCCAGGCCCATATCCGTGTCCAGCCCGAGGTTTGCACCCACACCAAGACCCATAGACAGAGCCAGGTTGGAGTCTAGATCAGGCATGATGGGACCGGCAGCATATGGTTGGTTAGGGTTGCTATGGTTACTGTTCACGGTTGAACTGCTTAGGCGGCGGTCGAGGTCGGTCTCAGGCAGGCCTGCTGCTATCCCTGCTAATGAGAATAATGGGGGTATAGATCCAGTAAGTGGAGGAAAATATAAGCGTAGTAGGGGATACAGACGAATTAAAAAAATAAGACTTACTAATTGTGGCTACATCTTTATCTTACGAGGGTTGTTTGTATTGCCTTGAATAAGCCCAAATTAGCAGTTGAGGGGTGAAGTATGCCCAATTACATAATGTTCATTTGAAATGGCTCAACATGTATACAAATTGTCTCGTAGATGTGACATCATCTAGTGCTTAAGTAGCTATAACCTTCGGATTCCACAACAGTGGGCAAAATTTGAATCACACGCAGCCGGACACTCTAGAAACCATGAATGCCGGACGGTACATAGGGGCCTTACCATTCGCCATACTGAGCATCAGCCTTCACCGCAAAACATACTGAAAGGTCATGAGTTGTACCCCACCCACTGTTCAGCTATCAGGTTGCTATCACACCTCTCGTTGCATGAGCGAGATCGGGACGGATATGTGCCATATCATCGAACATACAGTCCACTAATTGGGCAGGTAAAGACAACATTGCACGCGTAATGTGGCGAATCACTGTTCCTAAGGACTTCTCAGGGAGAGCACTGCAATACAGATGCAATAATGTAATGCATACCAATACATGCGACACTCGCCAGGCAAGACAGTCCAAAGGGACGGTAGGCCGTGTTTGAGTCACGAAGCCTGTTGACAGGACAGCAGACTATAGTGCACACGCCGGCAGATGGCACAATCAGTACAACACGGACAAACAGACCAATGTCGATATGAGCATACCGAATATATATAAATATATATTACCATATATATATATATATATATATATATATATA